TCCTGAGCTCATCTAATTTTTTGTCTGTTTCCATTCTAGAGTCTCTAATCATGTCTTTGATTGTGCTTACCACCTTTCTAGTGATCTGGAAAATTATTTCTATTTTGAATTTGTCTAGTGCCCAATTGATCTGTTTTGTTACTTCCCATGCTATGAGTTCTCTGTGTCCTGGTAGTTGATTGTCAGACTTTTTTACCTAATCTCTCTTAGAATTTGCTTTTGATGAACTGAAAATCTGTATTGTTCCTTGCTTAAGTGTTTTCTCATTTTTATTTTGGTTGTTGGACCATCCTTAGTTTAATTCCTGGGTTAGTAATTTGATCTTCATGAATATAGCTGCCTTTAGATTTCGTGTCTCAAAAGACTTAGAGACACTCTCATTTTCATAATATCAGAAAGGACATCTTATTAAATCAATCACAACCCTTTAGCCCAATTGATACAGTCAGCAAAACAATGGCATCAAGGAAAGCTTAGAAATTGACAATTTGTGGTAATTATTAACCTATTGCCTTTAACCATGTGAATTAAGCAAAAATCAAGGACAAGCCAAAAATATGTTTCTAGTGAAAAAACTCTTCAGTATAGCAACTTTACCCTTCAGGATGGGGACTTAGAAAGATTTGGGAAGAGAGGAATGATATGTAAGAGTAGGAGATTTTAAATGAAGCCAGAGGACACAGGATGATCATGCAAACTCTAGGAAACTGTTGAAGACAAGTGGGAAAGACAGAGTACAAGTAAAAAGAAAGAACAGAACAACTTAACAGTATTAGGGAAGTTATAAATTGTCCTCACTTTCCTTTGAAACTAGTGACCATTGAGCAAGAGAAAAAGAGAGGAGAAAAGAAAAAGAAAGAAGAAATCCAAATTATCTCAAGAACAGGAACTAAACAGGAGATGAAGAATACCACAGGGGAGCAAGAGACTGAGTGGAAAAAAGAACAAGGAAAAAAGGAAGAATTTGAAGAATGGAAAAAATAAAAATTAAAAATAAATGGAAAAGAAAGAAAAAAAATCGAAGGACCTTTTCAGTTTATATCTCTGCTGTCACAACATATAATGTGGGCAGCAATGTGCAGAACTAAGTCAATTAGTCTAAGCTAGCCAATGGCAAACCCCTGAGATTCAGGCTGAATTCTGGATGCCAGGCCCAAGTTGAGCTCCCTTACTTCCTGCAGAGTTGAACCCTGATAGGTTCTACTTACTGCATGTTCCAGCTGCCCTTTCCCTGAAGATAGTCCAAGTACTGATAGAAGGCTGTGATCCCTACAACTTACCAACTACAGAGTTCTGATGTGCTTTATCATGGTTGTTCACTTCCACTCTATCTTCTGGAGCTAAGTAAAATATCCTTTATGGCCAAATGTGCCACTACAGTGTGGATCCAGGTAACAGCACAACCAGTAGTCCTGAGAGCATGTGGGCAGGGAGGCAGGGATGCTGCAGAGGTGCTGGAACAGCTGGGCAGTCCTCAGTGGTCTGCTCCAATGAAGGCCTGGGCTGCTGTAGGCTGGGGAGCATTTAGCTTCCCAAGTGGCTGGGCAGTTCTCACCAGCTAGTAACAGTTAATTTGAATAAGCCAAGAAATTAGAAAATATTGTCAATCACTGGGAATTTTTTTTCAATCAATCAAGGGAACAGGCTGTATGCACAATTTTTCAAATGTTCTTTGTTCTAGTGTGTTTAATGGTCCTATGTGCCACCAGTTACTATTAATTATTTCATGTTTAAAATCTTAGGTTTTATAATTTTGCTCTGAAATCAGTAACTAATGCTACAAAGGTATTTAGTAGTGTTTTTGAAAAACTTATATTTGGGAAGCTCTCAATATTTTTTGCACTAAAATAGAAAGTAGAAACATTTTGCCAGGAAACTTGTAAACACTTTGATATAGATGAAGATGATTACATATTCATTTCTAAGATTTTATATATAATGCATCACTCATGAGACAAATAAAAACTATAAAAATAGTTAACATTTTTAGCAATAAGCTTACCTTGTAGAAATAAGGGACTTAAAAGCAAGGATTATATGCTCATCTTTGCTTGCAAGTAGCTTTAGTACTTCTGAGAAGCCAACAATTTTTCTTTCAAAGGTTATCTCACAATAAAATAATTCTGAAATGTTATTAAATAGCATTTTCCAGGCATACTGATTTCTGTATTTTAAGTAACTTAGTCCTCTCTTACAGCATATGAGAAACATTTTGTGTAAGAAAGATGAGAAATATGGAAGGTTCATTTAATTTACACTGCAAATAAATGCTGAGCCTTTATTAAAATCAAGAAGCTTTGACACTAGAGTTTATGTATTTGACCATTGTTTCCTGCCCCCTGGTATGACTGAAGCCATAGAATTCTAGAGACTGAAAAGTAGCTGCAGAACATATCAGGTGCTCTTCTCTTTTTACACATAATAATAAAGCACTAAGAGAATGCTGTGTGTCAGATTGGAGCACTGTTAATTTTGGACCTACACCAAAATTCTATAATTTTCCAATACCTTTTTATTACATTGTCTTGATCATTCCTGAGCAATAAGACATGATTTTATAAAACAAGCTTAGAAGTTGATTAGTAGCATGCCTGCTAAATAGTATGGCTGCTAAATAGCAAAGAAAGACCCAATTACTATTGTGTACTTTGACTTACATAATAAAGTGTGACCAAATGAGTCTTACACATTTTATGGCTCAAAATTATTCAACATACTTCAGATTATTAATGTTTTGTGGGAAATTCCAGAAGATGGGGATTAAGAGTATACAGTCAGAACCCCTGAGAACTACTTAGTAATAGGAAAAAAATCTGGTCAAGAGGCATCTAATATCAGAGTATGAATAGTGAATTTAATAATTATTTGCCCCTCAACAGAACTTATGACCTTCACCTAATCTGGACTCCATAACAAATGGTTTATACTGGAGTAGTTTATTTTGGTTTTTGTCAAACTTTATGGAGAGAATTTTTATGTGTGTCTGTGTGAATACTATTAATTTCTCCTTTTTTATCAAAATCATATATAAATTTATCCATATTTTAAATAGAGAAATACTTCTAAGGAAAAAGATTTCTGTTGTATTTTAATCATATCAGTGAATAATTAATTTGATCTAATCTATATATAAAAACATTTTAAACAATCAAAATGAATTGTAGGTTGCATGATCTGATTCTAATTAATTGCAAATATTAAAATAGCTAGGGAAAGAAAGGAAAATTAGCCAGATATTAAATGAATCTAGTCATTGGGCACTTACTATAGTCCAGGAAATATCTTAGGCACTTTTAAGTATTTCATTTAATCTTCATACAAATACTGTAATACCAATGTACTTATGAAAAATGAGACAGAAGAAAAAGGATTTGCCAAAGGATATATAGATGCATTGCCAAAACCACATTAGAAAAAGTATCATAGAGGGGGAAAATATTGAGTTTTCATCTTAGCAAAGTTCAAAGTAAATTTATTAATATCCAACGAATTTGGAATATCTTATTCCATAATCAAAACTATCTCTATTGTGGTGATGGTGGAACAGTTTTATAAGTATTTTATCATTAGATATTCTGTTATTTTAATAAGAAAATATCGTGTTAATTACTTTTCTGTCATTGCTGAGATAAAATACCCAACACTAAAAGTTTAAGAGCAAAGAGTTTATTTGGCTTACAATTCACAGAATTTTCAGCCCATAATTAGCTGACTCCAAGGCAGGGATGAGGTAGGGATGACAAGCAAAAATGGAGGAGGAGGAACAACATGTGCACACAAGGCAGCGAAGGTGACAAGAAAGTTTAACAGTGTCTTCTGCCTCTTTTATCCCATCCAGACTGGGAGTAGGGCAGTGCTAAATCACTGGCTCACATGTAGTGGTTTAGAAATCATATACCCTTAATCCCAGCATCACACATTCCAGATTCATCTATGTCTGACCAAACAAGGCCTTGGAAAAACATCCAGGTCCAAACCATAGCAAACATATTCATCAAGAAGTTTATATATTTATTTTCCTATTACAGAAATATAAAGAAATCAACATGTAGAAATAAACATCCTGATAAATTTGATAGTTAAGGTACTCCTTATAAATTTACAATGTGCCATTTTTGGATTTATATACCATTGTTTTTACAGGCATATTTTCATCTAAAACAAAAATAAGAGCAAAAATAGGTTCATTATAAACATTCGTTTTTCTATCATTACAAAAAGAGTGAAGATAGCCAACTGTTCATGTTGATTTATAGCTTGCATTGGAAGGACCATAGTATATGAAATTAATTTAGTAGTCAGGCACACAAAATGGCTATGTTATCTCTAGATACCATGTCAATATTCAAAGCAAAAACTGAGAGGAAGAGTCTATATCCTTACATCTTGATATTTTATAAGGGAATATAAAATTTTCCTGTAAATCCTTCAGCTGTCAATGGCCAGAATTATGTGACATAGTGACTGCTAGCATTAAAAAGTGGTTGGCAAATCCAAGTCTGGTGTGCAATGTAGCAAGAATTTTATTTATATGATCAATCTGTGAGTCCAAGGGAAGGAATCATCTAACTAATGAATCACATCATCAAAAATTCTAGAAAACCAATCATTTGTAATCACTATAGCACCAAAAGATTGATAAATAAACTCACTTAAGAAGAAAGAGCCCAATTTCCTGTTCTGAATATTCTAGTGTATGCCAGAGAGATGAAATAATTCACAAAATACAAGTGGGCAGTCACAAAATTTTTGGTCAGATTCTGCTCAGGGGCCTATATACAAGGGAACTGTGATGAATTTAAAGAATCAGTGAAATCAGTACCATACTACTTTTCATTCTGTTACAAATCCAGGTTTTCAAGTTGCTTGGAAAGAGCAGTTAATGAATATTTGATTGAATAAACAAATAAATATTACTAGAAGTATTGTTGAGTTAAAAATAAAAAAAATTTAAAATACATCTAAATTGCCATTTTTATGAATGAATATAAGGTGATTACCTTTCTGCTGTCCTGAGGTATAATCCATAGAGGACATTGAAAAGCCAGATATGGTATTGCCTGCCAAAAGGAGCAATAGCTCAACTTAGAGGTTTTTAGCTTAGTGGATGGGTTTCCAAACCTGCAAAGTAGAGGAAGGGCAAGGATTTGTAGCAGTTCTCGGTGAAACAGACCTTATACATGCACCATTTCTGAGAAGTTGGATGAATACAGTTACTGCAAACCTCAAACATATACCAGTGAAGACCTTGAAGATGAACATATTTAGTTTACACCCCACAATCTGCCTAGATAATTCTTCAAGGATAGTCTTGTTGCCAAGCTATTGAAAATACAGTTTGTAGAACATCTGCAAAATATTTTGAGACCTTCCTCTATTAAGACCTTCAGAGTAACTACATTCACTTACTTCCTGAGCCTGGGGTATAAAAGTTGAATCCTTTCAAATTTGGCCTAATTCAGGAAGGAGCATCTCAGAAGCTGCCTCCTGTTTACACAAATTATAGTAATTGTAGCCAAAGGACTTAGATATTGTCATTTGAAAAATGAAGATTAAAACATGCAATTTTAGGTAGAGGAATTTATAGCTTGTTAAGAAGACTAAGTATGAAATATTGTGCTGATATTATTTTTTCTCTTGTTTTTCTATTGTCTTTCCATGATGCTTAGGGCTGAGAGCATGTGCATAAATAAATTACACAAAAAATTTGTCTACTATCACATAAAGTACTTAGTGTGACATTAGCATCATAGGCATGTTTGTTTTGCTTTAACAATTTTAATGAATATTAACAACTCTTTTATTTAGCTTGGCATTTGTAGCCAAGAATTTTGACAAGATTACACTATAAGGACCTAAACTATTATTTTTACTAAATTATTTTGTGTTTTTGTTAATGACATTGGTTTACAACACATACCGTACTTTTCTATTGCAACTTTGTACTTTAAAGTAATGGAAGCCTGCTGTGTGTCTTAGCAGTTGTACTTGTGGAATATAAGAAATCTTTGTGTCTACCCACTTGGTATGATGAAAGTCAAGGTATGTACACATGTGCAAAAGTGTCAAACTAGGATTTGTATCCAATAATGGTCCATTTAACTGGCTTTCTGTAAGTTTTCCTGAGCATCACAGAGAGTAAAAAAATACCCACATTGCTCTTCTCTTATGTAAACATGTATTTTACCATAATAGAATATGGGTGTGACTCACAGTTGCTGCACCTGGGGAAAGTAAAAACACATCTTTGAATTCACTCACTTAGCAGATGAACAGTAAGGTGTGTATAAGATCTCTGAAGCAGCAACAGGCAAATTTTATCCATGAAATGCTCATTGCTAAATATCTGTGCATTTAAGATATTTTTTAAGTTCTCTTTTCATTTTTCTGGTAGAAGTGGCCCAATTCAGCAAAATGACACACGAAAAACCAGATTTGAAACATTGGAGGAGGTCTAAAATAAATCATCAGGTTACTCATGCACAGTGATGGAGATGATAGTGGCTTTGATATTGGCCATGTGAGCCTAAGTTCCTGAGGCAAGAAATGGAGCAAGAATCTACCAATATAGACACAGGGAATGCAGACCCTCCCCTGGATTCAGATGATGAAAAGAAATTTGAGTGCATATTTGACTAGTCCAAATAGGACAAAATGGTCACGTAACCAAATAGAATGATTCAATGATAGAAATAGGTCTGAAATACAGTGAGAATCTTGGTAGGGGTGAAACCTATTGGACATAATGCCAGCATTGCCATTCAGTTCTGAAAATTGTAATAGACAAAATGCTACAAGATGTGAAATACACAAATGCTGAAATGCAAGCAAAACATTCTGTATACACCAATAATTGTACTCAAAAATGTATTTATTCTGACACTTCACTAGCTGAATTTAAATTATTCATAGATCTGCTGCATTTAGCAGGGCTTTCTCATGATCATCATAGGAATGTAAAAGATATAGAAGAGTGAAGAGTGCAGGCTTGTGGTTTGTAGAATAACAATGACAATGAGGATATTTGCTGTCTTCAAAATTGTTGGAGGTTTGATGATAAAATTGCCCTCCAAGAAAGAAAAAGAACTGATAATCTGGCTGCTATCTGCTCATTGTTCAAGAGATTTATGACTAATTGTCAAACACTTTATAAGCCATCTAAATACATGACTCGTGATGGAAATCTTGCAACTTTCATGGTCTCTGTAGCTTCTGGCAGTATATGCCCTCCTAAAATAACTCCTTAAAATATGTCATAAAATTTGGCCTTGTAGATGCAAAGACTACTATGCTTTCAATTTAGAAATTTATCCTGAAATTTATCCACCACATCTTTATTCATATAGCCATAAACTGATTGATGTTGTGAAAAGACTTTCTACTTCCGTCTCTCAAACTAATTGAAATGTGACATTAGACAATTGGTTTACCAGTTTCACAGAAAACTGTATAGTATAATCCTTAGAGTTCAGAAAGATATACTATTGGCCTTATATATGGCAAAGAAAACCAAACTGGTATCCCTGATGTCAACAATGCACCATCATGGAAATATTGACAGGAGACCCTGACAAAACAGAAGCCTAGAATGGTAACTTTCTACAACAAAACCAAAGGTGAGGTGGATGTTGCTGATTAGTTATATAGCAACTATGGGATCAGTAAGAATGCAAAGCATCACTAGAAATGCAAAGCCAATGGTCATGCTTTACTGGATACTAAACATGTGAGGTATAAATAGTTTGATAACTTACAAAGAAAATAACAAGTGCAAAATATCCTGGAGAAATTTTCCTAGAGGATTGGGACTAAAACTCATAGGGGATCATGTACAGCAGAGGAAAAGAAATGTTTCTGCCCAGGGAACAATGCAAAAAAATTATGGAGCACACTGGTGACCAACCAGTGAATTGGCAGGCACAGCATTGCAAAAACTTAATATGACAACAGGAAAACAACAACAACAAAAAAAAGTCAACTTGTGCCCTACAAGGAAGAACAAGAAAAAAAAAAAACATATGTGCTATCAGTTTAAGTGATAATTATGTATTGAACATGCAGTCTCCATGTGTCAGACTGCCTTGAGTATGACAATTGCAACAAAGATTATTTTTGTGGTACACTTTTGTTTATATTTTATTTTTGATGTTATATTTTAAGTTTTGTAAGCAATCAAATAGAGGATGTGAAAATGTTGCTGTGTATTCTAAGCACTCATTATATATTTGATATTTTATTTTATCGATATTTTATTTTTCTGCTAAGTGCTACATTGTACAATATAGTAGGAAGCTCCTGACAAGAAAGGAAGATAAGAGCAGTGACAAGGACTGCTACCACAAAGGAAAGGAAAGTTAGCACAAGGGCTGTCAGTGTAAGCCAGATGTTTGCTTGGAACATGCAGTTGTCATGTGTGAAGAGTGCCTTGGGTAAGACAATTGAAGAAAGTATTATTTCTGAGGTAGACTTTCATTTGTATTTATATTTTTGTTCACCTGGGTATTTATTTCTGATACTATCCTTTAGGTTTTATAAACAAGTAAACAGCTGATGTGAAAATGTTGATATATATGCTAAACACATAATGCATATTAATTATTTAACAATTTATTGTATTGGTATTTTATGTTCTTATTAACTACACATTGTGTAATACAAGAACCTTCTGAAGAAACAGCCAGACCAGGGACACATCAAATATGTTCTACAAAAGGTGAAGAAAATGAAACACATGTGCTGTTTGTTTAAGCAAAATATATGTATGGAATGCGTTGCTGTTACATGTAAAGACTGCCTTAGTATGATAATTGCAATAAAACTTATTTTTCTCATAGAATTATTGGTAATTTCACTGTAGTTCACGCAGGAATTTAGTTCTTTTTAAGACTTTGTCCACCAAAAAGGAGTTGATATTGAAAATTTTGATGCTTTTTCATACATATTAAAAACACAATGCTTTATTTTTTGATATTTTTCATATTAAGTAGTCATTGTTTAATAAAATAAAACTCATAAAATTAAAAATTAATCAATAGAAATAGTCTAAAAATAAATAGGGGCATTATACATCTACAATGATGTCCCTTTATGACTAAGTTGACATTATGCTCCACAGGTTTAAAGAATTTTCTCCTTCCTTCCTTCCTTCCTCTCCCTCTACCCAACCCAATTTTTGCCCCTTCCTCCCTTCTATCTCCCATCCACTCCATCTCTTCCATAATGGAAAGAGAACCTGGAAAGTATTGAGCTAAAATTCTTTGCTTTTTAATTTTGGGACAAGGTCTTGCTAAATTGTACATGCTGGCCTCAAACATAGGATTACCCCTTTTCAGCTCCTGAGTAACTGGAACTACAGGTATGTACCACCCTGCCTGGCCAAAAGCGATCTTTTTGTATTATTTTAAAGTGTTCACTTTAATTGTAAAAACATTATTTGCAATAAACTGTAATTGATGCTTACTTTAAAATTTTTAATTATATAAAAATTTAATTATAACATTGCAAGAAATGATACTGGAGATAAAATATGAAATATTATATCTCCCAACCTGTTAGCTATTTCATACTCTGATTCTAGTTCTCTAGAAATCAAACTATGAGTCCTAGGAACCATGAAGGTTAAGAGTAGGAAGATGTTGATTGATAGGAAAGCTCATGAGGGGACCTGAGTGACTAGCGTGGGGCAGCCCCCTTTACAGAGAAATTTTATAGGAGGAAACACACATGGGTGTACTGTGGACCACAACCATGAACATCAAGTAAGTTTACAGGTAGAGTCACTTAGATAATGGTGGTCCAATTGGGAAACAAGTCATGTAACAAGCGTGGATGGAAAGAACAAAGATTCTCCTGGGAAGTGCTGAGTCCAGAGGTCTCTGGTCACCCACTGGGGTGGTTGATATCTATCTAGAATTCAGAAGGCCCAGTGTATGTTCTTTGAGGAAGTGTGCTAATCTAGTCACCTTGTATTTATTTTTAGGCCTGGTTTTGGGCCGATCTGTCTCTGGTGTACCTGTGGGTATGTTCTGCCTTTGTCCTACTCACTCGAGGACTTAGTCCCATATGACTGCCTATTATATTTCTACCAAGCT